TCACGAAAAAAGACTATTTCGCAGGTATCCACGTGAAGGAAACAACCCTTGTTCAATACATAAGAATAGCTGGGTCCAAAACAGCGGTGTATACAAAATCATTAAATATAACATCAATGTGTGAGAGATAATTTTCAGTGAATTTAAAAAAATAAAAATTAAACCAGGAAAAAGGTAATGAAAGCAGGATTCTTCAAGTAAAGTCATTGCCTGGAAACTTTAAAAACCAGTCCACTACAGAGTGGAGAGATGTGTAAATTAAAGAGTACATTTGTATAGTAAAGTACAAGAAGCTGCCTGCAGTTCAGCCAATACAAATGAAGTATAAATTGCAACAGTAACAGGTAAAATGAAGAAGAGAAAGACCAGATGGGTAAGCTAACCAGTGATAATTTGTACATAAGAATCGAATTAAAACCATTCACTGTGGTAAAAGTTTGTGGAATTGAAAATATAAGTACCTTTCCTTCAAAAATAGCACTGGAAGAACTCCAGATCCAATATCAATAGCAGGTAAACTGACAGAATAATTGGAAATAAGATTACAGAGTCCTATAAGAAACATGGTAAGATATGGAGAGGTCTGATTTCCATTCCTCTCTGTTCTCCAAACAATGAATCAGCAGTGGAAGGAGAAATGCAAGAAATGCTTTCAGGGAAAGGCTGGTTACAGTCTGTGTAGACACATTCCTACAATGAAATCTGGGTAATGGAACCAGATATTTGAGGCTACCAGTGACATGTAGGTGATACCAATGATATTTTTAAAATTCAGTGTATGTGGTGCATTTTTCCCACTTGTCTGGAAGCACTACACATCAGGGAACGCTCACATCATCATGCTGCAGCTCACAGGAAAAAAAAAAAACAAAACAGAACCTGAGACATAGTGGAGGTAAAAGCCACATAAAACTCTACCTGCTTTAGTTAGCTCTATTAAAATTTTACCATTAAAAAAGAGCAATAATAGATTAAGAACCATCAGACACGTTAAAAGAAATTGTCACGACTGAATGGGGACATGAGCAGTGAATTTCTGCAGATTATTGTAAGGATGAGAACAGTACTCGATGTTTCCATCAACAGCTTTTGAGAGCTTACCACCAAAAGACTGGCAGTGTGGTAGGACAGGGACAGCACAGTCTTACGTACAAAAATATGTTTTAACACACGGAGAACGATGAAGGGGAAGATGCACCTGGAGAGTAGGTGATCCTGAAAGGAACAAGGCAGGGGCTCACATTGCCTGAGCAAGCTGCAGTGAACAGCGTTAATGACATAAAACTAGCAGAGTAATGGATTCTGATCTCCACTGCCAGGTTTATTTTTATCCAAGACTGTTTAAAATTAAATGCATAAACAACCTGGAAAGAACACACCTTCTTCCCTGCTCCAAGGTATGTGTTTTGAACACTATGCTATAGTTAGCTCTTGGCTCATTTTCTTTCCGGCTCTCCTTTTGCATAATGACAGCTCCAACAGAGGTACACGGCATCTTCTTCCAGCACACATGTTCAGTTTGGTGGCTAATGCAGACTTCTGGAAATTTGGGGATGTGAATCTGTATCCTGTCGCAGAAGCAAACATGTCATCCATGTCTCTTACCTCCTGTTAGACCTCTAACCAGAAACTAATTATTCAAAAGTTGACTGTTGTATTTTCTGTATTTCAGATCAAAAGAGTGATGCTGGAAAAACATGCAAGTACTTACATGCAAGCTCTGAATCATGAGCAGATGGTGATAACTACCTGGAGTCCTGACTCAGCCATTACAGTGCTGGAAAGGGACGGGATTTCACACTCTTCCCCAGGGTTAACATTTCCTACTATTAGCTCTGGGCTGCTCACCTCCCGGAATAACCTGTTTTTCAGGACATCAGTTTGAAACAGTTCAACTCATCCTCTATCCAGCAACAGAGAGACTTCTGTTGGCTTTGGCCCTGGAAGAGTTTTTAGGATGTGTTTTAGGTAAAGGCAAACGATGAGCCTTTCTACAGAGGTAAATGTGTGCACTTCAGTGGCCTTTGATGTACAGGAGAGACTAGAATATTTAACAGTTCTTAACTATTAGCTGTTTAATTTCTGTTCTCCCCCATAAGAAAAGCATAATGTACCACATTTGTTTTGGATCACTGATACTGTATTTTATATCAAAAAAGGAAAGTATTCCATAATCCCATACGAGACTACATCTATTAAAACGAGCAGATCTTTAACTGAAGGATTATCTACAATTGCATGGATGGCTACAAATGGAACTTTCCCAAATTAAGCTGTTTACTGTAGAGTGATTACATTTGAAATGTTAAACTCCAAATAAAAAAAGAGCTTCTGCATCACTAAATTTCAATGAGATGCATAAATAACAACTTCCATAATTTTAGAAGTATCCTATTTCATTTTGAAGTGTCATACTGTGAAAAGGCATACTTTTGAATTTTACCTTTTTTCCAGTCACTGACATTGACAATCTCTATGCATTGCGTAACTGCATGTGAAAATATTACAAGATCATTTTTGAAGGCATGCCCCATCAAATCCATAAATTAGTAGCCAAGAAGCATTTTTATGGGATGGTGCAATGTTTGGCAAAGGTGACTTGATTCCCTAATCTGGAACTGTAAAGGAACTACTGAAATGCCAAGTGTCTAGACCGATACCACTATCAGAAAGAAAAACACTCAGCTGGCTCTTTCGTAAAATAAAGGCAAACCCCACTCCTACTACTTTATAAAACTAGAAAGCAAAGAACTAAAGCTCAATTCCACAACCAAGCCGGACACCTCCCTCCCACCCTCCAGAAAACCCACCCAGGCACTTGCATTAAGCCTTATCTCAACAACTGACAATCTAACCTTCTTCCATTTTAGTATTCTTACTCCGCTGACCCACTGGTGCTGTGTTTGTCCAGTAGCCAACGGCTGCTGTTGATCTACTACGACAAATCTTGTAAACTGCTGCCGCCTAGGGCTGTATGGATAGAAAGAGGAAATCTTAAAGGTCAGAAGGATCTTTTCCCTAAAATGTAAACAAGCATGCACTCCCAGTCTAGAATCAAAAAGTTCCAACTTTCTCCATCTTCAGTAGCATGTATAAGCTGCACTTGTCTTTGTACCAAGGTCTCTGAGGGACGGACAGCTAGAACAAACCAAGCTAAATTGTGTTCCCTACTTCCTTTGGACAAAGGATCACCCTGCTTTCTTCTGAAGGACTTTTTCTGATGATGGATAACTTACCTTTTGTAAATTGTTGCCTGTGCAGAACTAAATGCCGCCCTTCTGCAGTCCATTTCTTCTCCAGCTCAACTAGAGAAGAGCATCTGGGAAATCACAAAGTATTTTTACACCTCATAAAGGTGCTGACAGTATAGAAAGTGCCACAGCTCTCTCCGTGTGATCCACTGTAATTATTTCAGAAGAGCGCAGAGCTGGGTAAGGTTATGTTCTGTATCAGTGACTGCTCTATCATGATTTTGGCACACTGAAAAACTAACTTCTGTACAGCTATAAAGTTGCTATGATAAACATCACTTCTGAAAAGTGAAACAGTAATAAACTGCTACAAGTTGAAGATAACTCTTAACAAGCTTTTAGTAGAGAAGCTGCTGCTGGTTAACATTGAAGTCTGCCTTCCTATATACAAGAAATGCTGCTAGTATATTTAGTTTGGGGGGAAAAAAAAATCACAACACATATGGTAGCAACCACTGAGACAACTTGTTAGTAATCTTAACTCTAAATCATTAATTCCGATAAACAGCCCTTTGCAACTCAGTCATTAAGCACACTACTCAACATAACTCAAACTCGGCCAGTCCTACAGCACAGCTACAGCTTTCAAGCTACTTTGAGTTTTCGCCCATCCTGTCCCATGTAGGAAACAGCGAAAGTGCAGAAAACACTGGTGGAAGAGCTTAGCTTTGCACTTCATCACACTACTTTACTTTCTAACTTCATCACACTTGTCAGTACTTCTCAGACTAACCCCATTAGCATTTATGTTTTTTCCCAGTGAGCTTTTGTTTGTCTTATTTCCTAATGATGCAAAGTTGGACACTCAACTTCTCTCTACATTCCCACTGTTTTTCACTTAATTTCAGACACATACAGCAAACAAGGTTTTTATTTTTTTTAATTTACAGTATTGATTGCTCTGAGTTATGCCTTACTGTTGGTACACAGTAAATACATTCATCTGAACAATTCACTTAGTACGAAAAAAATGCAGTTAAAACATTAAAAATACCACTTTACACTGTGCGAAACAGAACCTTCGGAAGTAATGACATTGGCTGCAGCCAGGCACAGAGGAAGACTGTTCCCTTTCAGTCTACCAGTGTATTCATTTCTGTACCCCTTCATCTGAAATAGCCTGTAACAGTAGATTTTGGGTGAATGCTTCTGCTGAATTAAGGAGACTTAATAACTCTCAGCTTGGTCTTTAGCACTTTTATTTCCAGAACAGGATGTTTTTCTGTTCTACTCATTACACTAAGAATGGTTGTTCTCAGAACATTTACTGGACAAAAGGCTTCAATAACACTTCAATACTGAAGATATTTCTGAAGGGGAGTTATACTTTACTGGTGCATGCAGCTGTCAAAGTCTGGATAAATTAGGTAACATGCTTCCCCTAGACAAAAGAAAAGTGGACGGGCATGACTGGCATTTCACACTTAAGTTAGATGAAATGCATTCTTATCGCAAGCTTTAGACAGATTAATATATACCACGACATCTAGCACTGATAAAATTTAGAAAAATATTATCTTGGGGTTTGGTTGGGTTTTTTTGTTGTTGGTTTTGGTTTGGTTTTTTTTTTTTTTTAAGTCCTTGTTGTTCAGGGTTTTCTAAAAGTCTTTGAAGTAATGTAACACAAGATGCGAAAAACCACCCTGCTTTTTAATCTGAAAGATCCGGGCTGTCAAAGCTATTATACTGTTGACAATTACTCATTTGATTATCTATACATATTTTTTTAAACAATGAAGAGGCAGGAAATGTTGATTTATTTTTTAATTCTATGATCAAGAATGACTGAACATTGTAGTCACCTAAATCATCCCAATTACATAGTTTCCAATAAGTTAATGGCTGCCAAACAAGTGTATACTTCAGTGACCCACCATGAGCAATGTTATATGATGGGTGAGACAGATTTTTAAGGTTAGACGCTGTATATGTAAAAATAGAAAGTTTAAAAACCAAAATCATCACAGACATTTCCATCTCCTTTGTGAAATAAATAAGGCAGCAGATAACTTTACTTTGCAGTGGCATCTTTGAGGTATGCTATTAAGTCTGCTCTCTCAGACTTCTTCTTAATACCCGCAAAAATCATCTTTGTTCCTGGGATATACTTCTTTGGATTTTCCAAATACTCCATCAGAGTATCCTCACCCCAGGTGATACCTAGAGAGAAGAAAAAAGATAAATCATAGAATGGCATAGGCTGGAAGGGACCTTGGAGACCATCTAATTCAACCTCCCTGTCACGGGCAGGGACGCCTCTCAACTAGATCAGGCTACTCAAGGCTCTGTCCAACTTGGCCTTGAACACCTCCACGGAGTGCTCAATAGTGACTTCAAAATAACGAACACATCTATATTCTTGTCCTCTGTATTGTTTTACTTTTTGGCAGATTTTAGTAGTTCTAGAACTATCCCCAAGAACTCAAAATTTTTGCCCCTAGTAACTCATAAAAACATCTTTAAGTTTACCTTTATTCTTATTAGCATCCGTGTAAGAGAAGCCCGCAGCTTGTCCAGTCTTGCGTCCAAATAGGCCATTCAGGTTGGGTCCAGTCTTGTGCTTGCCTCCCTTTTCAACTGTATGGCACTGGGAACATTTCTGGACAAAGATCTTCTTGCCCTTCTCAATATCGCCCATTTTCAGTACTAGACCAAGAACACACACAGAGGTCAGAATCGCAATTTCAAGGTCACCTATTCAACGGAAGCTTTAAGAAGCATCCTGTTGGTTTACAAAATCATATATACGGCTCATCAGTCTAGTAATTCTCCAGCATGCTTTCTATCCACAAGCTATAGCTCCTGGGTTTGAAGATTAGAACAGAATCATTAGACTATGTAAAAGGCATCAAGGTGATAAACACACTTGAAGAGCAGGAAAAACCTTCTCTCAGCCAAAGTAATTACCCCACAGCATTTAAACAGTACCGAGATAATTTTTGAAGAGTAAATTGAACACGACTTCCATATATAGCTTGTATATCTATAAGAGGAAAGTTTCCTAGTCACGCACAGTCTTGTATAAAGGGACAGGACTGCTGGCAGGTTTTCCAGTTTCAGGCGGAAAAGGGCACCAGCACCCTACCTTGGAAGAAGCCGAGGGCGGCAGGCGCAGAGCCGGCCCGCTCCCCTCTTGCTACGAGCCGGAAGCCTCCCGGGCCCCCCGCCAGCAGCAACGCGGAGCGGCGAGAGCACCCAAGGGCACCCGCACTTCCCGCCTCCGGCTCTGCCTCCGCGGAGGCTGACCTTGAGGCGAGGAGCTGGCTCCCAGCGCGGCGGGGCCCTCCAGGCGAGCAGCTC